GTGCCCTCCCTTCCTGAGCCCACCCCTGGCCCAGTCAGACCCTCCTCTGGGGCTGGAAGTGGCCCTGGGTCAGCCCATCAGGTCCCCAGGTTGGCAAGGTCCCTGGAGCCCCCTCACCTGGCTTCAGGTGGTCCTCGAGGTCTGACGAAGACCCTTTGACCCTTAGTCCTGTCCTGGGGGTTTGGCGACCACAGGTGGCACTCGGGTCCCTGTCCAGTCTCCCGGCCCCTCCCCTCCTGCCTTGCGCCCACTTCCTGGTGCCATCCTGGTCTCCGTCCAGGTTCACTGGGCTCCAGCAGGTCCCTGGCCTGAGTTTGTGGAGCACAGAGGCCATCTCACCCTCTCCTGGGAAGATGGACGAGGGACAGTGTGAGGCTGGCCCTTCGCAGGTGTCGGCCGCGCTGCTCCCCTCGCGGCCCAGGCTGGCTGAAGGGGGCAGAGTTGGCAGCCCCCCCCCCCAGTCCCCGGATCTGCATTTTTTTCACATAATCCACAGAGGCGTTTTGTGACACGACATACCAGAGTCAGTCTCAATTCCTCTCCCCCTCCTGGCCCACCTAGAGTCCCCCTGGCTGGATTGGGGGGATCAGAGACCACTCTTGTCTGACCCCCTGGTTTGTGCCCTGGAAGACCAAGGCTCAGTGAAGGACTCGCAGGGTGGCCCCGGCTCTCAGGGTGGCCAGGGCAGGAGGCAGGCCATGTGGGTCTGGGGGTGACCTCGTCCGCCGTGTTCACTGAGCAAACACAGGGAGACCAACTGTGCTTCAGGAATGTCCTGGGTACAGAGAGGTGACCTCACAGGCCCGTCGCTGCCCCTGGGGAACTGGTGGTGGCCATTATAAACCAGGAGACAAATAAACACAGGCTTCCCGGGCAGCTGACCTGTGTGGGCCGTCCCGGGGTGTCTGGTGGCCAGGAAGGCGAGCTTTGAGTAGGGCACTGGCGTGTCCAGCACCTGACTGCCTATCGCAGCTGACACCTTCAGCACCAGTGACCATAACCCCCGTTTTGTGGGAGGGCAAAAGGAGGTGGGGGCGACAGCCCCCTGTGGAAGGGGGAAGCCGCCCTGGACGTCCGCAGGCTCCTGGGCACTGGGCCTGCAGGCCTCTGGGCCTCGGGTGGTGGCCCTTCTGTTGGCAAGTTGGTTGTGCAGCCTGGAGACCCCGTGCCTAAAGCACCTGCAATGAGCCACAGGGCAGTGGGTGGGGCTGCTCACCTGAACTGGCCACCTGCCTCACAGGTGGCCTTGTCCTCCACTTCTACATGTCCACTTTGTCTGTTTCTGTGCAGGGCACTGGGTGCGTGGGTGGGTGGTCTCTGCCAATCGCCCCGCTCTCCAGGAGCTTTCTGGTGGGAGGGGGGGGCCGCTGGGGGCTGGAGGTAGGCACGCTGTGCAGTACAGAGAGCATGGCCCTTGGGGTCAGCTCATCCTAGATTGAAATCCTGGCCCCATTGCTCTGCAACTTCAGGTCAGTAGCTTTACCTCTCTGAACTTTGCTTTAACCATCTGAGACATTCAGACTGTCGTCCCCACCAGGAAGGCGTTTGTGAAGGAAAATGAGACGGTGTGCCTAGGAAGAGCCTGGCCCGTGGCGAGCGCCCCTCTGAGACCCAGGCACCCTCCAGGAAATGCCCGTGGGCAGAGTCACATCAGGAGCCGGGACTCACCCGCTCCCGCGTTCTTGGGGCTTCGGGAGCTCCTTGGCCACAGAGTTTGGCTGCAGTTCAGATCCTGCTGTGCCCCTGGTGGAGGCTCACAGCCTCCGTTTCCTCGTCGTAATGGGCCAGCAGCCTCGGCTTCAGGGAAGCTGAGTGGGCTCAGTGTGATCTAGGGGCCCAGGGGGTGACGAATGTGGCCAGCAGCCCCATCCCTTGGTGACGGACAACCTGGTGGAGCTACAGAGTCCCCAAGAGAGAACTTCCGTGTTTGGGCCCGGAAGGTGGCTGCAGTGTGTGACCCCAGGTGGCCCCCCCCAGGAGGCTGGGTCAGCTGACTGAGCACATGGCCTGTCCCGCAGGTGTGGGGCCCAGAGAGCCTGGGAGAGTGCTCGGCATACAGTAGGCGCCCACTAAATACTGGCCATGCTGATTAACTGGTTGTGTCGGTGCTGATGGGAAAGGGTTGGGGGGGCAGCGCTGATCCCACAAATGGCTTCACGCGGGAGGAGGGCGGGAGGTGGCAGCTGGGAGCTGTGGGGGCGGGGGCTGGGAGGGACCTCCGTGGGGTGGTCCTCCTCACGGGCACGAGCTTGGGGACCGGGTGAAGGAGCAGTGTGTCCGGGTGGCCCAGAGGGTGAGGAGAGAGGGCAGGTGGTGGGACAATGACGGGAGCTCCGGGTGGGTGGAGAGGGGCGTGGCATTCCCGGGGCTGGCTGCCACCCTCCGTCCAGGCGCAGGAGGCTGGG